GAACCCAGTCTCTGGTCTACAGCTCTGGTGGAGCTGCATCTCAGGAAACCAGTCTCAAGCCTGAAGCTCTTGAAAAGCCTAACCAGCTAATCTGCCCTGGTGAGCCAACCCGAAGATTTCTACGTGGATGAAACCTGACGACTTCTCTGTGGAGTTTCCCTAGAGGTTCCCATGTGGATTCCCCCTGTTGTTCCCTACGGTGAGCTGGAAGCTCAGCCTGAAAGATCCCTCGTGTTTTCCCCTGTTGTTTTCTGTAGTAAGCTGGAAGCTAAAACCCAGGACTACCAGGCTAAGCCAAAGCTAGATGCTTAGCCTAACCTGAACTCAGCTACCAGCCATCTCCCTTTCCCTGCACAGACCCCAGTGAACCAGCCGCCTGTCAGAACTGTTCCGGTTTCATACTCATGTGTTTTGTGCTTCAATAAACTCTTTTGGACTTTTTACCCTGTGTCTCCGTGTGTGTTCTGCATCTTGGGCTTACTCTCTTAGAAACCCATCATGACAATCTAAATATTGCATCTAACTCCTTTACTTTTATTTTTGTATAATTTACATATCTCACTCTGGGCAAAATAATTTTGAAAGGGTAAGAGACAGAATATTTTTTAAAATGCAATACACTTTGATTTAGTTTTAACTATATCTTAGGGCAGCTTGTTGATAACAGTTTAAATTAAAGGATCACATTGAATTTCAAAATAACTGGAAGGCAATGCATCTGCAGCTTTTACCTCGTATTTCTGTTATCCTGTCAACAACATCATCTGGTATTTTGTCAGCAGCAGCGGGCCTGGAGGTTATCCACACTTTGGCTTCTGGAAGCAGATTTCCTTTGATGAGGTTTACAAGTAGGACGTCCAATGATGTTGGTTCTCTGACATCCTTCAAGATTTCACTGTTATCAAAGTCTAAAGAGGGTTGATATGCATCAAGTCCATCTAAAAGAAATACAATTTCTAACTGAGAATAATCTGAGATAATGATATTCTTGGTTTCCTCAAAGAAATGGTTGAGAAGTCCAAACAAACTGATTTTTCTCTCTTTTACAAAGTTGAGCTTTGAGAAGTTAAGAGGAAATAAAACTTCAACTTTTTTCTCCGCAGAAGAGAAGGCTTGTGTCATCCAAGAGAAAAATGACCTGGTCTTGTTATTATATTCAGCCCATCCTTTTGTAAATTTTTGCAAATGAAAAGATTTTCCTATTCCAGCTTCTCCAATAGTCAGCACCGTTCTTATTTTATTCCCCTTTTCTTCTTTGAAGATCTCTGAAGCTGCTTTCAATTTTACTGGCTTTTTCTGTTTACTTTCCTCTTCTTTAGAGCCACTTTTTTCTCTGATGATATGCTCTGTTGTTTTCTGGTTAGGATGGTTTTCCTCTTTATTCAAAGATATTTGCTTGAGAAATCTTTTTTTCATCTTTGACTGTAACTCTTTCCGTTGCTCGTTGGTTTCTAAGACAGATGATAGTAATAATGTGAAGATTTAAATACATACAGTACATACAACTCTTTAATACAGACAATAAATATTTCTACTTTGCAAATAAGCCTAATTAAGCATTCTTTTTCAGATAGTATACCTACATCGACATTGAACAGTTTTTTGGACACATTCAGAAGGAATTTTGTCAACTTTTTTTGGTTGAGAAATGATCCAAATATGAGCTTTAGGAAGCAAGTTTCCTTTAATCAGATTTGTTAGCAGCACATCTATTGATGCAGGTTCCCTCAAGTCTTTAACTTCCTTAATGTTTTCAAAGTCAAGAGTAAGTTTGCATTCTTCCAGGCCGTCAAAAATAAAACATACTTTACTGTTGTTACTGATAAAAATTTCTGCTTTTTTTGTTGAAAAATTCCTTGAGAAAAGATTTCATGCTTTTTTCTTCATCCTTCTTTGCATTCAGCTCAGTGAAAGGAAGAGACACTAGAGCCTTTATGTCCTTGTTGGATTTTCTTTCAGCCCAATCAATCATAAACATTCTTGTCTGGAATTTTTTGCCAATACCTGGGACTCCTTTCATGAGCACTGTTCTAGTTTTCTTTTCAGAAAACAATTCACTGTATTTGACCTGGCTCCATTTCTTTTATCATCAAATATCACAATTTCAGAGAGTTTTTTGTCATTTTTATGTTGACTCAACTATTGTAAAAAATATATATATTTTCAGAAATATTCTGTACTTCTTCTTGGCAACAAGCTTAACTCAGCCTGGCATAAGATTCACTGAGCAAATTAATATATTTACCACATGAATTACATTTCTGTCATCAAAAAAATAATACTGTTGGATCCTGTAGTAATGAAACATTGTGAATATTGATTATAGTACCACGGAATTTATGTTACTTCCACAGTTTTACTGTCTTATGAATATTTTCCTCTATTTTAGAGATTGCAGCACATGATAAATGTATTATAGCAGATACGACACAAACTTATCAATACTATCCCACAAAACCCCAATTTGAAATTAGTAAAAAAAGAAAAAAATTATAACAAACCAGGGAATTAGATAATGTAATTTGAAGTTAATATTTCTTTTTTATATCTGGTAAAAATGGTGAATAACAGTAAATCATTTAAAGCCAGTGGTGATACGAACTTCAACAAAGTTTCTACACATAATCATGCTTACCATTGTCAGCCTGGGAACGGGATTCATTATCAACACTGAGGGCACAGAGAAGACAGTACATTTTTTAGTTTATATTTACTAAAGCAAAGATGTGTCTATATATATTTATATTCAGGTTAAAAAACTGGAAAGACTTTCTTTGACATACAGGTCCTTCTATAAATATTAGCATATTGTGATGAAGTTCATTATTTTCCATAATGTAATTGTAAAATTGGAACATTCATATATTTTAGATTTATTGCACACTAACTAAAATATTTCGGGTCTTTTATTGACGGATGATTTTGGCATACAGCTCATGAAAACCCAAAATTCTTATCTCACAAAATTTGCATATTTCACCCAACCAATAAAAGAAAGGTGCTCTTAATACAAAAAAGTCAACCTTCAAATAATTATGTATTACAGTTATGCACTCAATACTTGGTCAAGAATCCTTTTTGCAGAAATTACTATTTCAATGCGGCGTGGCATGGGGGCAATCAGCCTGTGGCACTGCTAAGGTGTTATGGAGGCCCAGGATGCTTCGATAGCGGCCTTTAGCTCATCCACAGTGTTGGGTCTTGCGTGTCTCAACTTTCTCTTCACAATATCCCAGAGATTCTCTATGGGGTTCAGGTCAGGAGAGTTGGCAGGCCAATTGAGCACAGTGATACCATGGTCAGTAAACCATTTATCAGTGGTTTTGGCACTGTGAGCAGGTGCCAGGTTGTGCTGAAAAATGAAATATTCATCTCCATAAAGCTTTTCAGCAAATGGAATGAAGTGCTCCAAAATCTCCTGATAGCTGCATTGACCCTGCCCTTGATAAAACACAGTGGACCAACACCAGCAGCTGTTATGGCACCCCAGACCATCAGTGACTGTGGGTACTTGACACTGGACTTCTGGCATTTTGGCATATCCTTCTCCCCAGTCTTCCTCCAGACTCTGGCACCTTGATTTCCAAATGACATGCAAAACTGAGCAACAGTCCAGTGCTGCTTCTCTGTAGCCCAGGTCAGGCACCTCTGCCGCTGTTTCTGGTTCAAAAGTGGCTTGACCTGGGGAATGCGGCACCTGTAGCTCATTTCCTGCACATGCCTGTGCACCGTGGCTCTGGATATTTCTACTCCACACTCAGTTCACTGCTTCAGCAGGTCCCCCAAGGTCTGGAATCCACCCCTCTACACAATCTTCCTTCAGGCTCTGGTCACCTCTTCTTGTTGTGCACCGTTTTCTGCCACACTTATTCCTTCCCACTGACTTCCCACTGAGGTGCCTTGATACATCACTCTGAGAACAGCCTATTTATTCAGAAATATCTCTCTGTGACATACCCTCTTGCTTGAGGGTGTCAATGATGGCCTTCTGGACAGCAGTCAGGTCAGCAGTTCTACCCATGATTGGGGTTTTGAGTGATGGATCAGGCTGGGAGTTTTAGAGACCTTTTTCATGATATCCTCATTTTGTTAGATAGGAATTTGGGGTTGTATGCCAAAATCATCCATATTAAGACAATAAAAGACCTGAAATATTTCAGTTAGTGTGTAATGAATCTAAAATATATGAATGTTCAAATTGTATCATTACATTATGTAAAATAATGAGCTTTATCACAATATGCTAATATTTTGAGAAGGACCTGTATTTTCAGCTTCGCAGTCATCAGGAATTCTTACTCGTAAAACCAACTTCTGAGTGTTTTCTACTGTAACTGTTGGGGCTTGCATCCAAGGATGCAGATGGACATATTATTATCTCTTATGAAGAACCATTGTTTACCCAGGACCTAGGAGTGATGACTCAAAACAACTTTGTAATGATTAGCAGTTAACTGTCTCTTATGAAAAAAGACAAATCTATCTGAACATCGGCTACACAATCCTTTTCATCCCTATTAGAGTTCTTCTCAGAATCAGTTTGTCACATTAAAAGAGACAGTAGTCTCTGAACTAACAGAAAATGGCCGTAAACTTGTCTTTAAATGGTTTTCTTCCATGTCTTACCTTGAAACAGGGTTGGATGAATGAACACCAGACAAAACCTGGTCTTTGTTTTCCAGAGAGCTTAAACACCAGAAACAA